CAACCATAAATTTTCACCGTCCTATCACAAATTCCTATTTCGTAATAGTCGTTTTAGTATTCAAGTTAATTTTGCCTTTAACTTGATAACTGATCAATCATCTTTCTTTATCCTGAATTTAGATTAAGATTTTTTGAAAAAGCTTACATTTATCTGCTCTAATCGTTGAAACATTTTCATAACAACTTTTGGATTTTGGAGATAAACAGCGTTCAATAAAGTGTAAAATCAAAACAGTAGATGTGTCTAATTATGGATCGCAAGAATCATGATAATTCGCATGATTATCCCATTGTACAAAAATTTTATGATATGGACACATAAATGGCTTGCAAAAAGAAAAATTAAACCAAATGTAGAGATTGAAATCTGAAGATACAACAGTTTTTGAAAGGTTAATCGGTACTATATACATCTACGCCAAATCTGTAAATATTACCATAGAGTTTTCAAAATCTCAGCGGATTTGCTAGACAACCACTGTATAATTAAAAAATGAATGATAGAATTTTGCTTTGCAATAAAAAAAGATTTAATACAAATTGCGGTAATAACATTGAATCTGCTAATGATTTAATTTAATTTAAATGAAACCAGTTTCAGATTAGGATGGAACTTGCAAGAACCAACATCAATACGGTCTATGCAGATTTATATTTACTATGCTTTGCAGTGGGTAAACTGTCTATATTATTTATAGTGGCTGCCTCCTTCATTCATATACCAAATGCAACCAGATTCACAATCTGTTAGTTATTTTCGAATTTTATTGCTCCCAGAGGCTTAAATGCTTCCAAATTGATAAAAAAATCTCTAAAAGTTTTAGCTGTTAATATTTACGTTTAGATAGTGCGCAATTCAATCAAAGCTTCGTATGGAAAAAATCTCAAAAATTTTAAAAATGTTTTTTTAGGTATAACTTAGCGACAAATGAACTAAAAGTGACAATTCGTGTCATCTTTTATTGAAAATTCGACGTTCTACAAAACAGGTTTTTTATAATTTGCTTTGTAGAGCATCGAATTTTAAATAAAACTCTTTCATTTGTACGTCAGGTTATATCTAAAAAACATTTTTAAAATTTTTGGAAATTTTTACATGATATTTCCATACAAAACTTTGATTGAATTGCGCACTATCTAAAAGACAATATTAGAAGCTGAAACTTATAGAGGATTTTTTTATCAATTTGGAAGCATTTGAACCCCCGGAGAGCAAGGAAATTCAAAAATGTCTATATATATATATATATATATATATATATATATATATATTAAACATTTATCTGATTTTTCCGCCGCATCCCCAATCATTTTAAACAAGCCTAAAAATAAGTGTTTTTTCTCAGCGTAAAAGGACGAAAGAATTGAACGGAAACGTTTATTGTACGCGATGCGCATATAATCATCATTCAACTTATGTATTTTCAACAGATATATTTATTCCGAGTAAGTGAAAGCGAAACCTCTCGCTCTCAGTTCACTGATTTTAATCTCGATGCTTTTAGTGATGATCTTTCTGGTGTGGGCGAAATCAATTCGCGTTCAGCCAACCTCTTCCTCTGACTCGGAATTTGACGCGTAAGAATTGACACGCGACTCTCGAATATCATCATCGAATAAGCCCTTTAGTTACTGAATGGATGGGCAACGAGAGATTCATCGGGGTCAGTAATTAACGCTCTCAGACTTATTTACATAAGGCACCTAAAGTTACCGGCAAGTAGGGCAAAGGTAATAAGATGACGCTATTGAAAACATTGCTTGAATTATAACGATTGATAACAATGCGATTTTAGAGTTGATTGAATTTCTGTATGTTCTTGTTTAAGTAAAAACTAGTGGTGTATAGCATTGTGCCTTAAGACAAATTGCTGGAACTTCCCGCACCAAAAATTAATATTTTTAAAAATGATTAATTTTTATTAGAACTTTGAAAAAAAAAGTTTTCAAGAATTTTAAAATTTTTGGAAAAAATAACCTTTTCGAAAAATTGAAATTTTTTTATACTTTGAATTATTTTGAAAATTTTGAACTTTTTTTCAAAGCAATCGCGATAAGTTAGCTGCGTAAACCGAAATATCGAAGCGCGTGATCGCCGCGTCGCTTAACGGATAAATATTGGTACGAAACCCATAGAAATGTAAGCAAAATTTATTATTACTATTAAATACCTATAAAATATCTGATAATTTGTTGTGCAAGTGTCTATCTAATGATCATTTTTATCCGTCGTATGGCATTTTTTATTTTATTTTTTATTGAAACTCCGAAATCGGTACCTCTGCCTCTCCAAAAATTTCATAAGTTTTTCATTTCGTCAATACAAATAAAATGTTTTTTTTTGTATGATTCAAATCAGACGCCCCGTTCTCTCAAAAATTGAGTTACCATTTTTGGAACTTTTTGGCTCTTATCTTCGAAACGGCTGGACCTGCTTATGCCAAAAATTAATCAGTACTTTCCCTTGAATCATTGAAATCGGTTGATTCATGTTCTCAAAATCGTAAAAAATTGTATCCGCACGCACATACATACACACACACGTACACCCACACGCACACGCACATGCAGACAGTCATTTTTTTAAGGTATGCTAAAATGTTCAGAATCCTTTGAAACGTAAAGATATATTTAACAATTTTCATTTTCGATTTTTTGCGATTACTATAACTTACCCTACGAAAAGTTAAAAAAATTAGCGGTGCATGGCATTGCGCCTTAAGGGTGTATATTTTAGTGTAGAAATAAAACAGTTTTTACTTTCTTTTTCATATTTTTGAAGTTCAACTATTAAAAAATATGTGTACGAGAGGATTTTCAAAAATTTAAATTATTTTCGGAGATACAGCTGTTTGACCATGATAATTATCTTCTGTTTCTTTCGTTTTAAATGCGTTTTTCTCGAAACTTTTTCAATACGATGCTCACGATTTCTCGAGTCCTACTTGACCGATTTACTTGAAATTTTTAGAGAATCTTCTTTATAGACTTTCCTTAGTCATATACTAGCCTCAGCTTCAAATTTTAATTTTAACTGCTTTTACAAAATTTCAGTAACTCAAAGTGGTAAGAATTTGATTTTTTTTCAAACAGTCTCCATTTTGTCAAAAATTTATTTTTTTAACTTAATCCTAATATATACCATTGTTACATTATTCTTGATTAATAATCTTTTCTATTTATTTCGGATTACTAAGAGGGTAGCAATCGTGTGCATAGTCACGTGTCAACTTTGTGAGATCTCACACTTCAACCACTGCTATTTTTTTAAATTATTTAAATGTTTTTTTGTTTAAATTTTTCTGTACTTTTGTTGGATTAATAAAGAAATTATAAGAAACATGAAAGTATAAAAATGAAATGCCTTGTTTTACGTTGATTTAAAATTTATGCCTCAATACTAGAATACACCTGTAACTTGCCGTACATAATACAAAATTCTTAAAGGCTTGGAAAATTTTAGATTTTGTAAATTTGAAACTCATTCAAATCGGTTGATCCATAGTGTCGAAAATGTTGAGAAAACTTATTTAAACTATGTAAGTGAACTTTCAACATTGTAAATATTAGTACAAATACCAAAAAATGGAAACAAAATTTGTTCTTATTTTCAAAATCTCTATACAATATCTGATAATTTGATATACATAAGTCAAATGATCAATTTTGACCGTAAAATGGTATTTTTTTCACCCTTTTTTTTGGTTCTCCGGCACCGTCGGACCTGACTTCACAAAGTAATATAAATTCTTTAATCTATCATACAACTAAAATGCTCCTTGAATGATTCAAATCGGACGCTCTGTTCTCCCGAAAACTGAATTGCGATTTTTGACATCTCTTGCCTATTTAACGGATGACCTGGCTTGGCCAAAAACTAATCAGCAGGTCTCCTCATAAGAAATCAAATGTTTCCTGAATCATTCAAATCGGTTAATCCATGCTCTCGAAATCGTATACAACAAATTTGTATTCGCTCGTACGCACGTACACACACATACATCTATTTTTTTATAAGGTATGCCAAAATGTTCAGGAGGTCTTGAAACGTAAATATATATTAAAATTCACACTCCTATGCATGTTTGCATTATTGCTGATCGCCGAGTAAATAGTATCTGTAAGTAAAATAACAAAAACAATTATAAATAAAACAAATGCAATTATTATATATACATTTTATTGAACATTCATACAGAAGATATTGCTTGCATAACAATAATAAAGGGCCCGTAAAGTATTACAGCAATACTCACACAAACCTTGATTTTAACTCCACTGGTTAAATATATGTATTTACCACAGATCAATCAAATTTAATTCTAAACCTATTAAACATATCAAATGGTCAAGTATAATATTAATCACATTGTCCATCAAATAAACAACTTGAAAAAATAGATTATATAAATTTTTTTGAGCAAAAAAAATCCAAAGTTGTGTGAAAAATGCTAAATTCGAAAATTAATGACTTAAGTAACAAAAATTGTATATCTACTTATTCTACTGACTGCTTTTACATAAATATTGTTGAAATCTAAATAAAAATATACATGTAATAATTAAGGTATTAGCTAAGACTATAAATTTTAAATTCTATATAATAATCTTATTTTAATGTATCAATTACCAATTTAATTGAATGTTTGATTTTTATTATTTTAATTTTATTTCTAGATAAATGTTATATATTGACACAGTTCGCTTTGGTATTTATTATATAAATATTAACTGTATATAATATACATTCATCTATTACAATCAACAGTTACTTTATTTTATGAATAAATATTTTACGATCAGGGCGATGAATTTGAATGATCATTGAGTTTCACCACATCTGTAGATTACAAATTAGCATGACACAAATAAATTTAGTATCAGATTAAATTCAGATTCGTGTAAAAATTAAGAGAAATATTTGACAATTGATAAGGTTCTATAAGTCTGTGTGTGATAGTGAAAAATAACATTATAAAATGCCTTAGTGCTCTGGAATAATTCTAGATAGGACTGTCCGAAACAAAAAACTTGTTTAATGGAACTATCTGTTAATAGTGAAAAACATGAGAAGCGCTGTTATAAGTTGTATTATTATTTTCTTCTGCAATATGTGCTTGTCCGCTGCAGATGTTACTGGAAAGAAAATATTTTAAATGAGTAACTTTTAATGAAGCTTTAGTTTCTCTAAATGTATGATATTAAATTTTATAACATGTACACTCGAGTTTGTTTTTGTGCGATATAGTAATTCCAATTATATCGGAAAATAAATAGTTTTGTGAGCGTCAGCAATTTTTCGCTGTTTTTGAACCAGCGTATAATAAAAATTTGACAAGCTCTGAAACTTTTAATGATGTTAAATTAGTCGTGGTTGACTAAGTAGTGATTATTGTAGGACTTGCTTTTAAATCAGCATGATAGTAGTGTGACCATAATTTTTTATTTCAAAACTGGGTAACTAATAGTTATGCTAATCCGACAATTTAGTTTTAGCTAAATAATCTATATGATTAATATAACAAATATTGTTCAAGAAGGTATTCTGGTCTAGATTAATAAAAAAAGATTTAGATTTTTTGTATATTTTCTTAGATTAACTTAGTGGTTTCCAACCTTTTTACGCACCGCGCCCTCCCGCTCTAATAAAAATAATTTTTGCAAACCCTTAATTTTTTCAACAATCTTATTTCATAAATACTCAACTGATATTATCAGATGACAAATTAATATGCAATATTATGTATAAATATGCATAAGAATTTTTTATTTTTTTGTTAATTTTTTTTAATATTTTTTCAAAATTGTTGGTTTATTTTTGAAAATAGTATTTTGGAAAGTGCCGTACAAGCCTCCCTCCCCTATAACAGCCAGGCGCCCCCCGAAAGGGCGCGTCCCACAGGTTGGAAATCGCAAGAATAACTGTTCAAGAATATTGGTACAGAAGGATTTTTCAAATTAAAATTATTTTTAGAGATTGACCACGATAATCCTCTGTTTCTTTCCTCTGCAAAACTTCAAACGCGTTTTACTCGAAATTGTCTTTTTCGATACGATACTCAGGAATGTCATAAAATATGCTCACCCCCAAAATCCGACTTTTAGTATTTTTAAAATATTCCAGAAACTCAAAAAAAAATGTGAAAAATAATTTCATTCTAGACAATTGCTATTTTGCAAATATTGTTAACTTGCCCGTAATTCTTACTATTGCGGCATTATTCTAGTAATAATATACATTTTTTTCTTCAGATTATTTGGAGGTCTGATATCATGGGTATGTTTAGGTGCCAACATTTTGAGACCACCCACGTAACCACCTTCTAGAATTAAAACTTAATGACTTTTTTATTTTTATTTATCTTTTCAGAATTTCCAAAATAGTTAATAAATTGTAAGAAAAAATATAGTAATAATGTTGTTTCTCTTTTTTCCAGCTTTTCAAAAATCGCATAAAATTCATGCCTCTAGACCAAAATACTCACTTAAGGAAACTATAAAAATCAATTAATTAATTTATTTTTTAAATCAGAAGTACAATATAATCGTTTTAATCTACGTTTTTTTCCAAATTCTAAGACTTGTAATTAAAATTTAATTTTAAGCCTTCTGTACAAAATGCTTCATAATTAATTAACCTTATTAAATTGTATCGATTTTAGAATGTCTATTTCAAGACGAGTCTTACCACTTGTCTCAAGGATTTGTGCCAGACAGTTTGTTTTCGAATTTTCTGACAAAAAAGAGTAAATTTTCATAACAGTAAAAATATAAAGTGAGTGTTGGCTACTTTTAATCACTTTTGGATTTTTGGTATTGAAAGTTTTCTTTTTCGTTTTCGTTTTATAATTCAATATAAGTACACTCGTCGGTTGTTATAAATATAAGCAAATATACAATTTTAACCTATGTTTTTCAAAAAAAAAAAAATCAGGACAATTCGAGTCAATAAACCTGAATCCGGGTTAAAAAACACTAAATGAGAAAAACACTAAAACTCGGTCAATAAAAAGATCCGGGTCGTGATCTGGAATTCCGGGAATTATAGTCAGCTTAAATTAATGAGATTAAATCATCTGAATGAAATTAAATAAATGACGTATTTCAAAAAATTGTTTCACACTATTATTATCACACATATATCGCATTTAGCAAAAAAAAAACTAGTTCGATTGTACATGTTATATCACTAATTATATTCGGTTGATTGGAAAGTAATAGCATTTTAATAAAATGGATAAATAACGATTAAAGTAATAATCTAAAAATTGTAATTTTTTTTTGATCTGACGTATTACCTGACAAAAAAAAACATCAAAATATAGCAAACCGTTCCTGGTTTATTGCCAACATATTTTATTCATATAGATCTGTAATTTATTTTTCTTAAACAATGTTTGTTCAGTAAAATCTCTATTCAGTAAAAATAAGATAATACGAAAATTCTTATCGGTGTCCGCATTTAAGAGAACGTTATTATACAAATATCTTGTAATATTATTTTTAAAATATGTAATGATTATAAAGCGCCAAGAAGAAAAAAATATTTTTTTATCAGAAATTACTTTCCATACAACCTGATACAAGATTTTGTTGTTATAAATATAGATTCAGCTTATACAGATTTTACATTATTTTTTAAATTTTATAATATGGTGCATCAACAACCATGCAAAATAGTAAAATAAATAAAAAAATACTTAGGTACTTACCTTTCGATATATAGAGCACAAGCCATGCAAAAGCACTAAATAAAACTTATAACACCGAACGTAAACTGATGATTATATCAAACTACTGAATATAAAAGCAAATAATGAAAAGCATCTAGATTCATTCGCAAATACAAATAATTCTTCTAGCATTCACGAGCACTCTCAAGATACATATACAAATAACTTTGCACAGGGGCTATAAATCTTGATGAAATGAAAAAGCGATTCTTTACTTGGGTTGCGACGCGACAATAAATGCTGAAATAAATAAATAAAAAAGACGTAACAACGTATTGCTCGGGATCTTTTATATGCAGATTTCTTGACAGAACATATAAAAAACTATAATAAAAAAGTAAATATCGACAAAACGCAAAAATCGAAAAATCGCACGACCCGTTCGATTTACCAGAAGGAAACGTTCGACACCACCCGACTGCAATTGGATCAACAAAACCAAGAAAGGACAATGAATAATAAGTGAATTTATTATATAAAATTGACTGCAATTGGATCAACATATCTAAGAAATGACAAATAATTAAAGTAAATTTGTGATATTAAATTTGTCAATATCAACCGATTAATTATAATTGTGATTGACGAAGATACTCATCATGGATAAGTGGCAGCATTTTGTGTATTGACTGCAATTGGATCACCATGTTCAAGATGGTGATAAATAATAAAAGTGAATTTATCAAATAAATTTGTCAATATCAACCAGATTATTGTGATTGACAAATATACTCGTCATGGAGAAGTAGTAGAATTTTGTGCATTGACTACAATTGAATCAATAAATCCAAGAAAAAACAATGAATAATAAAATTGAATTTATCATAAAATTTGTCAATATCAACCAGTTATTGGTGGTTGACTAATATACTCGTCATGGAGAAGTGACAGAAGTTTGTATATTAACAGCCATTTGACCAACAAATCGAAGAAACGACAATAAATAATAATAGTGAATCTAGTCAATAGTATGGAGAAGTGTCAAAATTTGGTGTATTGATTGCAATTAGATCATCATATCCAAGAAAGGAAAATAAACAATAAAAGTAAATTAATTTATGATATTAAATTTGTCAATATGAACAAATTAATAGTGATAGGCTTGTCATGGAGAAGTGGCAGATTTTGGTGTATTAACAGCAATTGGATCACCATGTCCAAGAAAGGGCAATAAATAATAAAAGTGAATTTATTATATAAAATTTGTCAATATCAACCAGTTATTTGTGATTTCTCGTCATGGAGAAATGGCCGAATTTTGTGTTTTGATTGCAATTGGATCTCCACATCCAAAAAACGATAATAAAAGTAAATTTATCACATAAAATTTGTCAATATCAACCAATTTATTGTGAATGACAACCATACTCGTCATGGGTAAGTGGCAGCATTTTGTGTATTGACTGCAACTGGATGTCCATATCCAAAAAAGAATAAATTATAAAAGTGAATTCATCATATGAAATTTGTCAATATGAACTAGTTGATTAAAATTGACCAATAGACTCGTCATTGAAAAGTGGCAGATGTGTATTGATGAGCATACTCGTGGCGTATATAAAACTGTGATCATTACTACTTCAATTGCAATTTTGAAGAATAAGATGGCTATATAAAAATAAGTAGTTGTAAGAGGCATTTTATCTTGAAGCAAGTTGCATGAGCTTCCCAAAATGTGGGAGCAAGACACAAACAAGAATTAATTTCAAAAATTAAACGTTTGCTTTTTACGAAAAATTAATCAATGCAATTTCCAATTGATATCTTTTAAAACAACTCATATTACATGCAATTTTATTAATTTGATTTAATTTATTTAACATATTTCATCCTAATTCTAAAAATTTATATTAATTAAGATTGCACAGTAATTAGTACAAAACACGGAATATATGTATAAGGTGTATGTACTAAGAGTTCTAATCCAAATTTTAGTGATTTTTTTAATATTTAAACTATTTTTTGTAAACCTATAATATTTTAGGATGTTTGTACCATTCTCAATACAAATACCATTTTGTGGTCAAAAATGATCATTGGACATATGCACATCAAAGTAACGGATAGGTTATAAAGATTTTTAAAATGAGTACAAATTTTGTTTTTATTCTTTTGAGACAACAAATATCCTAAATATGGATCAATTGAACTGAATAATTTAAAAAAAACATTTGCTTCGTGCTGACCGCTAGACGTACTGGTTAGATTTTGCAAACGGCAGGTCTATCCATTTCGGTCATACGGTGCAGAAGGTACAAAAAATCATGCAGTTTTTGCGAAAACGGATCATATGATTAGAATGATACAAAAGAACATCGATTTTGAAAAAAATTCTAAACTTTTGCTTCTAGTTTTAACAGCAAACATAATTACGTATTCTATGAGCTGTATTTGCTATCGTACATCCTAAACTTGATGTATCTTCGAATTGTATTTGAACTTGAAATTAGTGAGAAAAAAAGAAAATATTTACCCGAACTATTCATTACTAAGCTAAGTCTAAAGGGCTTGTTTTGAGTTGTCTAGTAATGTTTGTGGATTGCAATGACAAAATATCTAACACAAGAGTCTGACAGACTGGCAGACAAAAAAAACACTAAGATTTTGAATTAAAACAAAGATTCATTATTATGTTCATTATTACAATAAAAAAATCTCTGAATTTTATTTAGGAAAATATTACCACTAACATCACTACAAAAGCACCCAAATTAAGTGTATTCACTAAAGCTGGTCCACATGTAAAGCCACATGATCCATAACAATAATCAGTAAGTTCAAAGCACAAGTGATTTTCCCGTGTTCTGTGTGCGATTTAGATACATGTGCCACAAATTATAATACAATGAATGCACATATATGTATTACCGGGTATAGATAACTGATTATATTATTGAACTGTTTTGTTTCGTATTGAGCATTCAAATTATGTAAAACATAGCAATCGCAAACCAACAATAATTACTAATATACGCGCTCACATATATCTACATATCAATATCCATGTAACTAAAATTATTTCTAGGTAAAATTCATATTTTCCATATAAATTTCAAGACAGTTGCTATGTAATAAATTCTATCTAATTAAATAATAGTAATACTAATAAAAATATTAATCGATTTTGTATTTTGATAATATAATTATTGAGATAATTATTAAGCATTCTATTAAGTAATTATCGATGTACTTGTATTATGAAACATATGAATATTTATAAACCACTTAACCTCTAATTAAATCCTATTCATCATGGAATCAAGAATAATTCTGCAGCAAAATATTTATTTAATTGTTGATTTTGAAACTCAAATTATTATCTTGATTCCATGAATAAATATTATAAAACAGCCCACATGGATTTCATTAGAGGTTAAGTGGTTTATAAATATTCCTATGTATCATAATACTTGAGTTTACGACAGATGACGCAAGAATTTACTTAATGACGTATGTTAATAATAAAAATAACAAACTTTCAATTGGCGTGCGCTCTATCTAAATGTTTACATTAAGAGCTAATACTATTAGAGATTCATTTTCAACTTCCCGTAGAGTAATTTATAGTAATCGTCAAAAAATCTAAAATGAAAATTTCTATACGAATATCTCGTATATCTTAACGTTTCAAAGATTTCTGAATATTTTGGCATACCTTAGAAAAAATGGATGTATGTGTGTGTGTGTGTGCGAATACAAGTTTTCGTCGACGATTTCGGGAACACCGATCAACCGATTTGAATAATTCAAGAAACATTCGATTCGTATTGCTAAGGAGACGTGCTGATTAGTTTTTGGTGGAGGTAGGTCTAGCCGTTCCAAAGATACGGGGCAAAAAGTGCCAAAAATGCTAACTTAGTTTTTAAGAGAACGGAGTATCCGATTTTAATAATTCAAAAAACATTTTACTTGTATTGAGAAGATAAAGAATTGGTTTTCATGAAGGCAGGTCTATCGGTTTCGGAGATCCAATAAAAAAAAATGCCATTTGGCGGTCAAAAATGATCATTAGACATATGCACACCAAATTATCAGATATTTTATAGAGATTTTAACAATAAGTATGAATTTTGAGTACATTCCTATGGGTTCCGTACCAATGTTTACGCGTTAGACGGCGACGCGGCGCTTATGCGCTTTGATATTTCGTCTTTGTGCAGTTAAAGCAGTACGATTGCTTTGAAAAACAGTTCAGAATTTTCAAAATATGTCAAAATAAAGAAAACATATTTCAAAAAAAAAAAATAATAAATAAAAAAAAAGTAAATTTTTGTCAAATTTATAGTTTCTCAAAAATCTAATTTTTTCGAAGTAAAATTTTTTCAAAAATGTTAATGGCTTTTAAAAAAATAATAATTTTTGGTACCGGAAGTTCCAGCAATTTGCCTTAAAACACGATGCCATGCTTCCCACTAGTTCATTAATTTGGAAGCATTGGCGCCCTTGGAAGCAAAGAAATTCGAAAATGTCCTTGCTAAGAACCACATTAATAAACATATATAATCATTCAAAAAGTGCTTTACAACACAACTAATCAGCTAAATACAAGAAAAGCAAATCAATAACACAAAATAGCATAAAACCACATTTCGCTACTTTGCATCATACACTACATCTAAAAATCTAACACAACATCGTGGCAGAAGTAATAAATCGATGACTTACCTCGTGCTGGTACAGCCCACATGGATTTCATTAGAGGTTAAGTGGTTTATAAATATTCCTATGTATCATAATACTTGAGTTCACGACAGATGGCGTAAGAATTTACTTAATGACGTATGTTAATAACAAATATAAGAAACTTTCAATTGGGGTGCGCTCTATCTAAATGTTTACATTAAGACCTAATACTATTAGAGATTCATTTTTCATTCATTTGGAAGCATTGGCGCCCTTGGAAGCAAAAAAATTCGAAAATGTCCTTGTTCAGGACCATGCTAATAAACATATATAATCGATAAGTGCTTTACAACACTGCTAATCAGCTATACAAAAAAAGCAAATCCAATCACGCATAAAAGCATAAAACCACGTTTCATTACTTTGCATCATACACTACATCTAAAAATCTAAAACAACATCGTGGCAGAAGTAATAAATCGATGACTTACCTCGTGCTGGTACAGCCCACATGGATTTCATTAGAGGTTAAGTGGTTTATAAATATTTTTATGTGTCATAATAATTGAGTTCACGACAGATGGCGTAAAAATTTACTTAATGACGTATGTTAATAACAAATATAAGAAACTTTCAATTAGCGTGCGCTCTATCTAAATGTTTACATTAAGACCTAATACTATTAGAGATTCATTTTTCATTCATTTGAAAGCATTGGCGCCCTTGAAAGCAAAGAAATTCGAAAATGTCCTCGTTAAAAACTACCATAATAAACATATATAATCATTCGAAAAGTGCTTTACAACACTGCTAATCAGCTATACAAGAAAAGCAAATCAATCACGCATAATAGCATAAAACCACGTTTCGTTACTTTGCATTAGGGAATGCAATACCGATAAAAAATTTCAATACCGGTATTTCGGTAATTTTTTATTTTAAAACCGGAATACCGGTAAATTACCGGTATTTTTATTATCTTAAACGTAAACAAAATTGGAAGTTACTAGTACAGATATAAAAAAATTTATATACAACTACAACTATATTCAACTAAACAATAAAAACAATAAAATAAATCAATAAGTTTATTTTTTTAAATAATAATTTAACAAAATTATATTCAATTTAATTAATTCATTATCACTATCCAATATATTGAGTATTTTTCACCAATAACAAACTTATGAGTAAGAAAGACTAAAAAAAAATATCATATTACATTGTTATAATAAACTGTAATGTCTGTATCCGATGTGTTAAATTAGCATAATCTCCAATATTTCAAAAAAATAATTTTTTACACTAATTTAAGATTGGATACTTTGTCAAGATAAATAAGTTACTATAATTGTTGAATATTGTTATTTAAAACAATGTGATGCTTCTATAGTATTTTCAAACTTCGTATCGTTTTCGAAAAACAATATTTTATAATTGTAATAAGAGACAAAAATATTTAGTAATTATCATAATTATTATGTATAGAGATAGAAAAAATAAAGTTTACGCAGAGGCAATCTGTATGATATAAAATATTTTGTCGCAAATATCACTTAAAAACCGTTACATTTTTACATAAGATGAAACAAACATCATTATCTATCAGTCCAATTTTATTTATTGTAACACCATATGAAGCCCTTAGTAAAGCAATAAATATTCAGTTTAATGACGAGTTGAGATAATATTTGAAATTTGTTTATCCTATAGAATCACTTGAAGATATAGCTGTTTATGCGATGATGGAATTTAAAGATAAATTTGTTCCGAGAAATTCAAACTTTAGTGTATTATGTATCGAATATCGCTTATGTAAAGATACCAAAAATACCGGTATTTTTGGGATAAATACCGATAAAAATACCGCCAAAAAATCGGGCGGTTTACCGTTAATTCGGTATATCGGCATACCGGTATTGCATTTCCTACTTTGCATCATACACTACATCTAAAAATCTAAAAATCTAAAACAACATCGTGGCAGAAGTAATAAATCGATGACTTACCTCTAGCTGGTATGGGGTCCCTAGCCGGGAAACCGATTGACACTTCCGCGCTCTGCATGTACAGAGCGGCTACGTGAGACGTGCAGCGCAAGATGAGAACTCCCGGCCCCGCGGTGAAATGCGACGGCAGAACTTGAAGTTCCAGATACAGCGAACCGGACTCGAGACCGTCGCCCGCGTCATGGTGCATCGTGTCGCCCGTGCTGACCTGGAACAGAATTCACACATTGTCATTGTTTGTACTTCTGATATAGCGAAGACGTTGGCTGTGAGTCGTGACAGGGTAATGGATATTTTTAACTTCCCGTAGGGTAAGTTATAGTAATCGCAAAAAAATCGAAAATGAAAATTTTTATATATCTTTACGTTTCAGAGGTTTCTGAACATTTTGGCATACCTTAGAAAAAATGGATGTATGTGTGTGTGTGTGTGTGTGTGTGTGTGTATGTATGTATGTATGTATGTATGTATGTATGTATGTATGTATGTATGTATGTATGTGTGTGTATGTATGTGCGGATACAAATTTTCGTCGACGATTTCGGGAACACGGATCAACCGATTTGAATAATTCAAAAAACATTCGATTCGTATTGATAAGGAGACGTGCTGATTAGTTTTTGGTGAAGGCAGGTCCAGCGGTTCCGAAGATACGGGGCAAAAAGTGCCAAAAACAGTACCTCCGTTTTTAAGAGAACGGAGCGTCCGATTTGAATAATTCAAAAAACATTTTACTTGTATTGACAAGATGTAGAAGTGATCAAATTTTCATAAAGGCAGGCCTAGCGGTTTCGGAGATCTAATGAAAAAAGTAAAAAAAAATGCCATTCGGCGGTTAAAAATGATCATTAGACATATGCACATCAAATTGTCAGATTTTTTATAGATATTTTAACAATAAGTATAATTTTTTTTTACATTTCTATGGGTTCCGTACCAATGCTTATGCGTTAGACGGCGGCGCGGCACCTGCGAGCTTTGACATTTCGTCTCCATGCAGTTCAAGCAGTGCGATTGCTTTGAAAAAAAGTTCAGAATTTTCAAAATATGTCAAAATGAAGAAAACATTTTTTTTTCAAAAAAATTTTTGTTTTCAAAAAAAAAAAAATTCTCAAAAAAAAATTTTTTTTTCAAATAAAAAATTTTTTTTTTCAAAAAAACGGTATTTTTTTGTCAAATTTATAGTTTCTCAAAAATCTATTTTTTTCGAAGTAAAATTTTTTCAAAAATGTTAATCGTTTTTAAAAAAATAATAATTTTTGGTACGGGAAGTTCCAGCAATTTGCCTTAAGGCACGATGCCCTAATTGCCTTAAGACAGAATTCCACTTACAGCTAGTTACATTTGTATTCGTAGTAAAGATTACTTTATTATATATACGAATTAATTTACAACAAATTTACTGGATGTAAAACAAGGTGTAAGTGACCTTGATGCAAGTTGCATTTAGAGGATAATCTAGTGTTATAAATATTATAAAACAGCCCACATGGATTTTATTAGAGGTTAAGTGGTCTATAAATATTCTTACGTGTCATAATGAGTTCACGACAGATGGCGCAAGAATTTACTTAATGACGTATGTTAATAACAAATATAAGAAACTTTCAATTGGCGTGCGCTCTATCTAAATGTTTACATTAAGACCTAATACTATTAGAGATTCATTTTTCATTCATTTGACAGCATTGGCGCCCTTAGTAGCAAAGAAATTCGAAAATGTCCTTCTTAAGAACCACTCTAATAAACATATATAATCATTCGAAAAGTGCTTTACAACACTGCTAATCAGCTATACAAGAAAAGCAAATCAATCACACATAATAGCATAAATTAAAAAAAAAGTTTTTTTAAAGTAAAACTTCTTTAAGCGCGACTAGGGTGTAAATCCATACAAATGCAACAGAAGTACATTACGGCAGAGTCGAGTGTCAATGATTCGTCATTTGCTCTCGATGATATCATTTCTATATGAGTCGATTGTGATTAGTCGTCGTGTATGTTAATAGAGATCTATCGTTGTATGCGTACCGGCATCAAGGTTGTACGCGTACCGATATCAACAAGGAAATCGGCATAGATAAATAAACATTTTAAAGATACATCGTAGTACAAATCTTGATTTAATGAAAAATGCCTGAATCAAAAGAATATTTTACCTTGTTCCTTAAAAATAAGAAAGCAAATTAAACATTTGTGCCGTGTACTAGACTTAAATTCATTGATTAGAAATTATTTCTATATTATACGCAGTTTTTATAAATCTTTGAGGTTATTAAAATGGAAAATATTTTTTAGGCAAGACAGATATTACAGCTGTTCAAAGAATGAGATTATATCGCCAGCGAAAAAGTAAAAAATACAAGCAGTAAATGAATGTATGTTAATTTTAATTGCATGAAGTTTTTCAAATACAATTACATGATGAATGAAGTTGCAAAAACAATATTTGTTTAGGCGTTGTTTAACATAATCCACTGTGTAAACAAATATTATAGAATTTATTTATCAGCAATTACTTCATTTCTCTAATGAAGGTTCATTTCTAAATGCTAATTACAATGACAAACCGATCATGTCATATTTGAAGTACGACTTTAATTATAACATTAATGTTTTTAAATATTATACATATTTTTAATGCTATTATAAATATATAATTTATAATTTATCATTACATAAATGTGTATAATGTTTGACACTAATAAATGCGTGCATCACGAGTGTTACCATATTACTAATAAACATTATTCAAAATTGTTATATGATGTATTTATTTTTACTCAAATGCCATCTTGTACAGTAGCAAATTTAGTAGTTAGTTATTTAGTAGTCCATATTTCTTCGAGTTCTACTAGAAAGAATTACTTGAAATTTTTGGATAATCTTTTTTGCAGACTTTTCTCAGACCTTATTATATACTAGCCTGATCCCCAAATTTCCATTCATACTATTTTTTAAAAAATAGTAGAAATCAAAAAGTGGAGAGAAAATGATCCTTTTTTTCAAACAATCGCTGGACGAAAATTATCCGTTCTTCAAACTTTTTACCGTTTTGTCAATATGCACATACCATTGCGACATCATTCTAGATCAATGATCTTTTTTGACTAATACGTGATCCTAATATATTGCACTATTTTACTAATTCTAAAGAAACAGCTCGGTTGATCGTCTCAAAACTTACATAACGCGAGTCCTGATCGAATTTCATCAAATGACTTCATTAAATACCCATGAAATTTTGGCAATCAATGCAGCCGTTTTTTTAAAAAATTCGAAGAATTGTCAACCTTTTTTCCACATATTTTCTAATTTTGATCTCAAGCAATTTAATACGACTTGAAAAATCGGATTATCTGGCCAATTCAAATTTCCAGTACCAAATTTAGTATTGGAGCAATTGCAAGATATGACATATGAGATTTATTACTAACTGCCAACTAAATCAAAAAAACGTCCCACATTGCACAAAAGTTACATAAGTCTATGTTCAAAAATAAAGTCAGTACTGAGGTATATGGAGTCTCATAAGAAGGATATTTGCAGGCACATCATGGAGTGAATCCATCACAAGATATTACAGATATGAGATTTATTCGCAGACATCCAACGTCTTCTAGAACTAGGAGATGACACACATTGTACATATATTATCAGCCTACGCCTTAAACCAGTGATAAATAAAGTAGTAATAAGAAACTAGCTGTAAGCTAAGCTCTAGTAGTGAATGAAGTAACTTAGAACTAACCAGAAAATATAATAAAGTAAATAAATAAAAATTATTTACATTTAATAATCAAACAAAGATTATTGCTTAATGAGCACCCCTCATTAACAATCCTCAAGTACACAACATGAGTCTCATATCCTCATATCCTTTCTGTTAATTTTAAATGACTTGAAACTGACAAGAATTGATTGTGGAAAAAACAAACTAATTTCAACAAATCTGTCTTCACTCATTTTCAATAAAACTGCAAATTAACCAATCATCAGCCAGGGACACCAACATTATTTTACATATGCATGAAAAGTTCAAAATAGAGTTTTTACCACAATTCTTGTATCATTTTATCAATAAATTTGCTCTCTAGGCATACGTTATTTGGCAGTGGCATGTGACAGGTGGCAATTTAAAAATACGGCAACGTCCTATGGGTTTCTTCAATATTTCCTAACATTGGGAATATTCGTATAGAATCCCACATTGCATACTGCAATGTACACATCAGTCAAGGTAATACAAGGCTATAAGGAGTATTAGCGTGTTTTGAAAAAAATGTGGAGCACATTTATTCTGCTGTAGTAATTACAATATTAAATATCCGTAATATGCATCTATGTCATGCAATTGAATAGTTTATGCATATGTAATAAAAAGTAGTTCAGCAATGCACCCAGTTTTCAGAAAAATGAGTCAATTTAGGTCTGAAAGTATGCTACATTAGTAAAAGACACGTCTAAATTATCTAATTTGTATTTAAAATTTAAAATAAATTTATTTCATCATCATAAATATTTACATGTATATAGGGTAAGGCGGGGCACAAAGATCCTATATCTACTATATCACAATACAAAATACATATCAAACAATTAACTATCAAACCATGTTCCGTAAAATTTCCAGTTAATCCCTATTTGTTTTACTATTTTTTTTTAAATTTGGCATTTAGTCCTGTTTGTTCCATAGACGAGATGAAAGGAGACAAAATGTTTTTTACTATTTTTTTTAAATTTGGCATCTAGTCCTGTTTGTTCTATAGACGAGATGAAAAGAGACAAAATGTTTTTTACTATTTTTTTTTAAATTTGGCATCTAGTCCTGTTTGTTTCATAGGCGAGATATAAAGGGACATATAAGGAACAAACTGTTTCAATGTATTATTTTTAATTTTAGAAGAATATTCAAAAATAGTAGCTACACTATTCAACCAATGCAAAATATAATTTCATGGACGCTTTTTTTTAAAAAAATATTGTATATAACTGTGATCTGGTATTTTGTCAGAAATATTCATTAGCAGAGTTGTATTAACTTACTATTTTCTTATTATGTTATTATGCTAGCCTATTCACACACATTTTGCCTTCTACTTTAAAATAGTATCGCAAAAAATTCTATACTTGTTTTTGAGATGATGGTGGACCTTTTTACCCATGGACCTTCAATATTTATATATATATATATATATATATATATAT